AATGGCAAGCGATCCACCCATTCACTCCACGTATTATAATTCTCCTTTACCCAGTTGCATGCCGCTCGAAAATACGGGGATGGTTCAGTCGTGTCACTAGATACAGCAACATACTCAGTCATTAGACTGTTGATGTCTGTATCCGCGAGTGAGATTTTAGAAAACAAGGAACCGGCAGGGAGATCCTTCACTATGGAAGCCGCAAATTTGGTGAGCGGAAGGCTTGGATAATCTACATCTACAGGGTTGTCTGTCTTGTTACCGTACCCATGTTCACCGTAGTTTCCCGTCGACAATTTAACGCGTTCGGGGTCAGTACGTGGCAAGAATACCCGATTAAAGTCCCCCTTGTGTTTAATGTGGAACAGATCAGGCTCGTAATGGTAGAATAGTACTGGTTTCCCATTTGCCGCTGCATCTGCTGCATATCTGTTGACTCCGCCATAACCGATGAAGCAGAAGTAGGCAGGAATCTCTAAATTGGAGAGCACAGCTTGAAAGTAACCTTGATCGAAGTACGGTGTCATCATAGCCACGACCAGGCACTTTTTACCATTGCCAGCATTTTCACGCTCAGTGCACGCTTGGGATTTTGAACAGTAGTTTTCACAGCCCAGAATACCGTCCAGACAGTAATTCTTTGCAGGAGGGTAGAAAGTCGCGTCGCTCTTAAAAGAAACCACATCCAACTGATCAATTAGAGTGTCGCTCATTTTGTAGGTCATCCAGTAATCTGGAAAGTATGGTGGTGTTGCAGCGGCTCCGTCGAGAACCAATTCGTGAGTAGTGTACAAACCGGAGAGTCCGAAATACCCGATACCACCGACAAAGAAACTTTCGTTGAAATAGACCCGCAGAGCTGAAATCGTACCAGAGGACCAAACCTCGGCGTTCAAATGAGTTGGAGTGCATATACCCGTTCTTGCAGACGACATGCGTTGAGTGACATCTGCACTTGCACCACCGACGCTAATTGAGACCTTGTACCCGACCTAACATTAAAGAATCACAAAATTACTATCAAACCGAGCGGTCGATACGTTTTGCTGCGTATACGCACCACTTCTTCTGCGAGAATTGCCACGACCAGTGACGAGAGCCAATGTGTATCCCAGTCACCTATGTCCAATACGAGAGTACCCTTCACGTTGCCCCGAGTGTTACCGTCTGCATCCTGGTCAGCTCCATAGAAAACGTTATCCTTGGGTATGCAGCTATCACTAAACGCTGTTGCTGATGATGTTCGTGGATCATCGACCTGGTTGACAGAAATCAACTCCAATGCTTAGAAGTTCGGTAGTTGAGGTTAACGATCACGATATTCAACGCACTGTGTATCGTGGATACTTGAGAGCTGGCTGCAGGAGTGGATTAATAAGTCGGCCACTGGAGTCGCGGGCTTTGCTGGAGACGCCCAGTTGAGCTTCCATCTGCGCAACCCAAGCCGAATCCAGACAAGTTCCTAGATAGTAGTTTGGTCCGACAGGGTATTTCCCAGCGATGACGAGCTCATGATACCACCCGCCAGAAAGGACGGCGAACAGCAACAGCCACACCATCACTACAGATGACCTGGAAGTGATGTGAGCTCACCTTCTTGTAGAGTGTCTGTACCGCGTATCCGTTGCGAAATCTCTCTAGAAATAGCACATTTCCCGACAAGATTGGTCCATCGCACGCGTCTTGGAGTTTTTTTTATAAACCGACATGAAACAGAGCACTTACCAGTGCAAGTCATGTAGCCATCTCGAAAAGATCGCGTCATTTGAAGCTGGGCCGTAATCCTTAAAATAGTCACTTCTGATTGGTCACAAAAGTATTCAGATAATTATCGCTCTCTGATTGGCTGTTCGGGCCATTCTTCAATTCCCCAGACATGGCGCCCATGTCCACTTCGTCGGCGCTGGTGACGTCGTCTTCACCCGCTGCGCCGCCTCCCGAGGAAGACGCCGAACTGCCCGTGGACCTGTCGCAACTGCCATCCATCCCCGCGGCCAAGTCTTTGCTGCTGATCAACAATTTCGTGGCCAACACCACGCGATTCCTCAATCATTTTGCACACGAGTGTGAGGAGCGAATCACCCGCGTATCGGACAATGTCACAAGAGTCGAGATCTTATTGGCTATTTTAGAAGCCAAATTGAACAGCATTCCAGATCTGAATGTTTCAGATGCCGCAGTCAATGGCGACGATGGAAATCTCAACCTGAACGCGAACCAGATGGATCTAGGCATTTCTGATCAAGACCTGCCATCTATGGAGGCCAATGGGACGCCATTGCCACCGCCTCCACCCCCTCCAGAGGAAGAAGGGGCTTTTAATGAGAAAGTGCCACCTCCACCACCTCCACCGTCAATGGACGGAATGGATGGAGCCTTAATACTGCCCCCTCCTCCACCTTCGTCGCCTTCAGGCTCAATGCCTCCGCCTCCGCCTTCATCTATGGGAGATTTCGATGAGGACGATAAGGATCAAGGTGAAGTGAAGGAGAGTGATGGTCCTCCAGTGCTGAAGCTGAAGGATGACCCAGTGTACGCCAAGTACTTTACGATGCGCAGACTAGGCATCCCAGAGCAGGTGATTGAGCACAAACTCATGATGGACGGAATGGACACCAACATTCTGAATATGGACCCAGAAGGACCCTCACCCAGTGGAGGACTGGCTCCGACGATGGAGTCGGAGCCCACGGGACCAATTCTGCCGATTATGGCGCCTCCTCCGCCAGCATCGGACAGTGAGAGTGAGTCTTCAGACGATGAGAGGATGGAGCTGCCTCCCCCACCGCCGTCACTGTCCGAGCCGAGAAATACTGAACGCCGACCGTCGGGGAACATTGGAATGCCATTCCCACCGCCACCACCGCCGATTTCACCCACGGTGTGTTGATGCAGATATTTTGACTGTTCATTGAGGTTATTAACTGTTATGGTTTTGATTGTTGCAGTCGTCCGTTGGTGGACCAGCCTCGCTGTTCGGTGACGGACCTCCAGCCCCGCCTCCACCACCTCCTCCGTCTTCGACTGGTCGTCCAGCTCCTCCTGTAAGTGAGATGGAGAGCTCCAGCGACGACGATATTGAAGAATTCGACGTCGATGATACACCACCGGCCTCTGCTGACTCTGGTGTGATGAAACTCAAGGATGACCCTGCGTTTGAAAAGTACGTGATGTGCTGCTTTCAAATGCCAACACTTACTAACGGGTTCTATTGTGCTGCTTTCGATGTAGATACTTTAAAATGCGGAAGTTGGGAATGCCCGACGGCGTCATTCAGCACAAACTCATGATGGATGGTGTTACACTTGACATTCTAAAGTACGTCAACCACCGTCGTGATCATCGTGATTTAAAATGCCTTGACAATTGGTTTTCTATTATTGTGCAGCATGGATCCGGAAGGCCCATCTCCTAATGCCACGGGTGCAGATCCAGCGGCTCCAGTGGCTGCACCAGCAGTATCTGACCAGCCTCCACTTCCTCCCGGGTTACCGCCACCGCCACCGCCACCAGCACGGCCAGCTGGAGGCCTACCACCACCTCCTGTGAAGAGATACGATGACTCTGACTCTGATTTTGACTCTGACTGATCGAGACGCGTATCTTGACATCAATTTAAAAAAAATGCTATGATAACAGATGCAGCCGTGAGCTATTGAGTTTTTTTTTTATAATTATTATTTCTATCGAATGTCCGATGCCAGGGGAATATCTAACTGCTGCAAGTCTTTTGCAACCAGGTAAATACAATTCTACCGTCTTCAATTATTCACTAAACCTCATGTGTCCGTTACAGCAAATGGCAATTCAAGACCACCTTATTTTAGCATCGAAATCCCGCGTTTTCTGACTAACTTTATACTCAAGGAGCGCTGTTCGACAAACGCTTTCACATTTAACTTCCAGGATAATGCGCAGTGGCGAAGGCAGCGGTTCCTGTTAACTGTGTCGCCGAGCACAACGCTGACTTCGAGACATTGAAAGTTACCAGCGAGTACTATGGACGGAATGCAGAGGGAGGATGGTGCTGTATCAAGTGATCCCTCTATGGAAGCAACAACCGAAGCCACTCCGCCAATGACGACTGTATCATTGGCCAGTCAGCCACCAGCTTCCGTGCCTGCGATAATTATACCGGTGATCACGGGGAGCTCAAGCGCTCAGGATGTTCAAGTACCGTCAAAACCAGTGGAGAAACCATTACGGACCACCTTACAACCGCAGATGTACCCGCTGAAGAGAGGACCCTCAACTAATCGAATTGTAGAAGGGGAACCAGTCGGGGAGGACGTACTTCGTCAAGTGGAGCAGATGGATACAATTATCAACGCCAATGCCACACTCAAATCCTTCAAGGCTTCATCACCACGTCGCCCATCCCGAAGTCAGAAACAAATTATGGGTTATCTGGAGAAAAAAGCTCGCACCGCCTTGGCATCGGATACTTCGAATGGCTCGAATGGGCCAAATCAAGACGACGTTAATTCAACAGGCAGTGCTGGGTCTGCTACTCCCAGCAACTCGAGAAAAGTGCATCCTCACATCGAAAGCAAGCTGCAGCCAATCGGCAGTGGCGATCTCTCGGATACGGGCAATATTAAAGTTGCAGACGCCAGTTTTCGACGAAAATCAACGCGAAAATCTCTCGTGGAACGTATAAGCTCCGTCATGTTTGAAGCCCCGGAAGGGCGACTATCGAACGCTTCCTCGAGTTTTGCTGGCCGTGCCGACGTTAAGCGTCCAAGCATCAAATCACATCGGAATAGCCGTGTCGATAGCAGACGACGTAGTAGTGTCACGGCTTCGATCAAGGGGGACGTGTCCAAGTTCAAGCAGACTGTGTCTAGAATGTTTGAGAAGGCGTCGCAGATTAAACTGGATGATGAACGCACGGCCAGAGTCGCGGAGCTGGTGGACAGCGAAGTGATGGTCTTAAACACGAGTCAATTGGCTCAAAGTCAAAAGCGCAAAGCGCACCAGTACACGCTCTCAATCCACTCAACTTTCCGCCAATGGTGGGATTTCGTGCTCACTGCGTCCATCGCGTACGTGATCGTCATGACGCCGATCAAAGTGGGCTTTGACGTGCAGTCTTCAGGCTTGAATTACGCGCTGGATGTGGTGGTGGATGTCATTTATCTCATTGAAATGGTGCTCAACTTCTTCACGAGTTACGAAGACGACGCCACGGGCGAAGAAATCAAAGAACTCGACAAAATTCGACGGAATTATCTTCAGAGCTGGTTTCTCGTCGATGCTGTAAGTAGCTTCCCGTCGTCACTAGTGGGGACGACAAACGGTCTTCTTACAATGTCCAAGATCCTCAAGGTGGCCCGCGTAGCCAAAATATCCGACTCGGGTCTCGTTCGCACCATATCTGGGCATATCGATCGCTCAATGAACCCATCGATGCTTCGAATGCTCAAGCTCACAGTCATCTTCCTCGTCTCGCAGCATCTCATCGCGTGTACATATTACTACATCAGCTTCAACCAGTCGGTTGATACAACATGGGCCCCCACGCACGATATCCGCAATAGCGACTCGCTTGGCCAGCAATACGTGGACGCCTTCTACTTTGCCATCATGGTGACTACAGCAAACGACGTAAATCCCATTACTCCAATCGAGAAGCTCTTTACATCAGTGATGCTGTTTGTGGGCATCGTCATCAACGCCAGTATCATCGGTAGTGCTGCAAATTTACTGGCAAATCTGGACAAAGAAGAGATCGCTCGGAAGAACCACATGGACTCCATCAACGACTATCTACGCTTCAAGAAAGTACCTTTAGTCTTGCAGAACAAAATCCGACGATACTATGACTACGCGTGGTCAACGCGTCTACAGGATCCGACGGAAAATTTGTTCGCAGACTTACCGGATCGACTCAAACTTCTGCTCAAGCTGAATTTGCACTCTGAATTTGTGCGTAAAGTGCCGCTTTTCCGAGCTCTGTCACATGCTGGAGTGGTGGCTGTTATTCAATGTTTAGTGCCAATTGTTGCGATGCCCGGGGAGGTTATTATCGTGTACGGCGAAGTCGCGAGAGAGTTTTACTTTATCAAGACAGGCCAAGTATCGCTCTGTGTTCCTGCAGTTGAGGAAAGTATTCCGTTGGGAAATCTCGGTGAAGGCTCGTTCTTTGGAGAGACGTCTCTTCTTACTGGAGAACCGACGACAGCAGAAGTCAAGGCCGAACGCATGTGCGAGCTCATGTATCTGAGTAAAGAAGACTTCGAGACTATCGTCGACAGATTCCCCACGTTCTTCCTTGCTGTGCGTCGCATCAGTGAGTCTCGCTTGCAGACGGCACAAAATATCCAGAAAATGACCAAGATGAATCGCCGACCGACGCAAGTGCTGAAGATGAAGAAGTTGAGCTTACGTAGTGTCGCCCAGGCGGCAGTACTGAAGGCGCGCTTTGGTGATCGCTTGGAAACGTTAGGGAACAAAGGAGCATCCGGGAGGTCTGAGCGTATTGGATCGATTGTAGGCAACGGGAAAAGGTTGTTATCAACTGGAAGAAGGAAATCTATCCCGTCCTTCAGCGCCAACTTCATTGATCGATTATCGCTGGCTCAAGCGAGACATCTCACTCGCTTGCGCTCCATGAGCGACATGCAACAAAACAACGAGGAAGACGCCTTCTGGGATTGAGTAAAATGGGGGTATACCAGTGTAGAATTTAACAGAGGGGTCAATCGAAATATTTTGTAGCAAAGGAGAACAATGCCACGAATGACTTCGCAACTGGGAAAAGTGCAAATGCCTCACGTGATTCATGCCTGCTTTGTCGTCAGCTGACTCAGCTGGAACGTTACTTGTTCGACTACAAACTGGCACTACTCCTTGATTGCAAGAGGCTTGAGTCCAGCGTCGAAAGAATCGCTAGAAGGAACTAGCGCCTCTATTTTCCAGAATACGTGTGGCCTAATGGTCTCGTCGTGGCGCAAGTGGAAGCTGATCAGCTGATCAGCTGATCCATCGAGAAATGCCCCCTGACGAACAAGTATGCAGAGTGCAAGAGCTCTCCCTCACTTTCAGTTTTGTCGTGGCAGTGAGGTTTCGATGGCGATACCTACAGGACGGAGCCGTGTTGTGCTAAGATGTCTGGTGGTAGTGACGGTGATTTCGATTGTCGTGTACGGTCTTGAACGACGCGTACAAACAGACGAAACCGAGATCGATCGGCCGACTAAAACCTCGAGCGCTCGTGGATTGGCAAGTTTGAGCAACCAAGTAAATGCTTCATCGCTCTCAAGCAGCGCGGAAGAAGCAGTGAGCAAGGAGTTCAATGACGAAAGTCCCGCCAGCGGAGATGGTGTGCAAACAACTACTGAGACGGAAGTTCCAGTGTCTAGTTTTGCAGATTCAACATCGGATGAGCTGTCAGAGCAGGAGGGCTCAAAGCCTGTGGAACCTACTACTGGACTAGTATTGAACGAGAAATTGAACGCCGAAGGATCGCATAAGGAAGAGCCACCAATTGAATCTAATCTATCGGATACATCAACTAGCACGACTCCAGAACACACTACGACCTTTGTAGATGATCCAGGGTCAAACGAGTCTAGTGTCAGCCCAGAGAAGAGCAATACGAAGTCCATAGGTAGTTCAAGCAAGGGATTTTCTTCACAGATTAGTCCAGGAGACATCATCAGTTCTCCGACAAGCGACTTAGGGGTGATCGATTCTAGTACTGGTATTGACCCAGGCACTGACGATCATGTTACACGGGAGAATGGAGACAAAGACCAAGAATCTAGTAGCATGGGTGGCGAGCATAACGACGCTACTGAGCATAAGAACGAGGATCAAGAAAACAACGTAAACCACAGCGGCAGCGACACAAGTAATGGCAACCAGGTAAATGATAGCAGGGATAAAAAAACTACCGCTGAATTGGAAATTGATGAACAAATTTTGTGGAAGAACGAAATCGTCACTTCGACCGCCACCCCTGCAAAAAGCAACTTGGATAGGAATGATAACACACCAACGTTGGTGTCTTCCGCTTCTAGCGGGATCGGGAGCAGTCTAAGCAAATGGGACAATGGCAGTGGAAATGATGATGCGAATGGCAATGCTAATGAAAGCATCAACAGCAATGCTAAAAACAACAGAGCAAAAGCCAACGTACCAACGCTGGCATTTTCCACTTCTAACGAGACCGTGAGCAGTCCGAGTACGTCGAACAATGGCAACGGTAATGGCAACACGAATGGCAATGGCAATACGAGCAGGAACACGAACG